CTGTGCTCGCAGGGCTCGCAGTGGGCCTGAGGCTGCGCTCTGCTGTGCTCGCAGGGCTCGCAGTGGGCCTGACGCCACGGTCAGTGCGCTCTGCTGTGCTCGCAGGGCTCGCAGTGGGCCTGACGCCACGGTCAGTGCGCTCTGCTGTGCTCGCAGGGCTCGCAGTGGGCCTGAGGCTGCGCTCTGCTGTGCTCGCAGGGCTCGCAGTGGGCCTGAGGCCATGGTCAATGCGGGGAGAGTGCCTGTCCTGATGTCTCATGAGGACAGGAGTGGCTGGGGACGGGCACACCACGGCCAGGTTCACTGCCTCCCGCCTGGGGCTTTCCCAGGTGCACCTGGGACAGGGACGGGCAGAAGGTGACTGCCCAGCTGACACCCAGGAGAGCTGGGGTCTGAGAGGCATGCTGGCCAGTGGGGCAGGGCTGCACCCATCCCCATGGGTGAGGAGCAGCTCCTGGAGGCCCTGATGGCCTGTGTTCCACGGACGGGATGTAAGAGTCCCATAGGCAGCACGCCAAAATCCTTGTTTTTATTTTCATCCTTTATATTTGAGGCTCCTTGAAGACAGCCTATAGGGAGAGGGGGGGCACTGGTGGGGGTTGGTGGGAGGGGGCTGTTGAAATTGACATCCTCAAGTTGGAGCTAGAACAGTGCAACTCCCTGAAATTGCTGGGAGGGGAGGGGTGGGGAGGGCCTGGGGTGTCTGTGTGGAGGGGTCCTAGCCAGCTCCTGGCTGATGCGTGCTAATAAAACAGTGGCTCAACCCATACTTTAAACCCACAGTTTTTATGACTGTGAAAGCAGCATATATTTATTTTACAAAGCACAGACATCAGCACAGGATGCAGGAGGTGCAGGGACGGGCCTCCGGGTGGTGCAGAGATGGTCACTGTGGTCAGAAGCATGTGTGGTGGATCTCCCGCACACCCAGCTCTCCGTGTGCGACGGTCCCGCAGCATCTTAATGCATGTGGCTCTGTGCAAAGCTTGCTTTTGCTTTTGCACAGTCCCTTCTGCATTCCAGCCGATTTTGTTGTCCTCCTTAGCATTCTTTTGCTGGGATCATTCATTCGCCCAGTTGGCATTCCTTTGTGCCACCCTTCATCCTCTTGTACACCAGCGCCTCCCAGTGTGAGGGACTGAGCAGTTGACTTCATCTGTGTTGGTGCAAGCTCTATTTTTTCATGGGGTCCATGTACACCAGTGGCTACGCAGCGATGAACTAAAGAAATGTCTGCACCACCGGCTGCAGTGACAATGACAGCAGAGACGGGAGCAGGTACATGGGGCAGGACTGCAGGATGGGGAACTATTCTGGCTCAAGGACAGGTGTGTGAAGCAGCATATCACCTGACAGAGGCTGTAGTGTAGTGGACACAGCACCCCTCACCCCAAGGGTGCCATTGGGGGGCCCAGCTCTCTCTGCGCTCCTGAACAGGGGCAGCCGTGGCAGTAGAGGAAAGGGAGTGCCGGGAATGGAGGGCTGGCCCTGTTCCCCAGACAGGCTGAAGGAGCTAGGATCGGCCTATGGGCTCCTGACCATGTAAATTCCGGTTGTGGGGCCACACCCAGGAGGCCCTGGTCCTGGGAAACCTGTGATCTTCTGGATTGTGCATGGGTACAATGCAGGAGATGGGAAAACTGGCCACAGAAGTCCCCGAGGCCATGAACTAAGAAAATATACCTGGCCAGAACTACTCAAAAGGAAAACTGTTAAGCCCCTAGAACTGTGACACAAATATCCCAACCCAAGATATGGTCTGATGACTAACTGGGAAAGCACATACGATCTTACTTTTAAAATTCACTTAAAACAGTGAAGACAGACAAATTTTGAGACATTTTTGAGGTATTTATAAGGTCCAGAAAAAGTCTGTTTTCCTCTACAGTGTGTTCTTTTTTTTTGGTTGGTCATGGGGTTTGAACTCTGGGCCTGGGCACTGTCCCTCAGCTCTTCAGATCAAGGCTAGTGCTCTACCACTTGAGCCACAGCACCACTTCCAGTTTTCTGGTGGTTTATTGGAGATAAAGAGTCTCACTGACTTTCCTGCCCAGACTGGCTTTGAACCATGATCCTCAGATCTCAGCCTCCTGAGTAGCTAGGATGACAGGCGTGAGCCACCAGCGCTCGGCTTACAGTATGTTCTTATGAAGTGGTTCCTACCTAGAGTGAAGGGAGCCTCATAGAGTGCATCCCCTGCCCAGCCCACGCTTGACCCTCCTTCCCCCAAGGTTACTCCCCTCTCCCTGCCTCGGCTGCATTCATACTCCCCCCCCCCCCCCCCCCCCCCCGCATGCTGCACTGGCTGCTGTGCTGTGGGACTGGAGCTCCGGAAGCACCCGGCCGGCCTCCCTGGTCAGGTGAGCCGCTGTCAGCTCCTGGTGACGAGGACAGCACGCAGGAGCCCAGGCCTCTTAGAGCATCTCTGGATCCGAAACCAGTCACGACGTGGGGGGAGAGTCCCTGGCTCCCAGAGGTCCACAGCGACTGGACACAGACACCGTCTTTATTCGTTCAGCAAAAGTGCCATTCTCTTCATTCCGTATGTTGGAAATCCTATACGGCTTCTTAAACCTAATAAGGAACAAGGTGATCTACGTTGAGTACTTAGCTGCACATAAGAACAGTTTGCTTCCTTCGGGGACAGGGCTGCTGACAACACTCAAGGCAAAACCAAAGCCATGGGTGGTCTTGGAAAAGAACAAACGAAAGAGGAGCTTGTGTTTGTTTTTTTTTTAATACTGCCTGAAAAGGGCCTCCCCACCCCCCCACCCCCCCCAGGCGCTGGGCATCGGACGGGGGCAGTGCTTCCAGAGCTGGGGACAAGAAGTCAGAAGAGCACCTCTGGCTTTCATGGAGGGACAGCTGGGACTGCTCATCAGAGGCTCTGTGACACATCTGACGTGTGTGTGTCCAGCGCCCTGTGTGTGGCGTGTGGTGGGCAGGCCTGGCTGTCTCCCGGCTGGTCATGAGAGGCACTGCTGGGGTCCAGCGAGACTGTAGAGTCTTACACTCAGACCAGATGACTGCCAGCTCACCCTGCCACCTATGCCAAGGGTGGGCTGGGAAGGGCGCCCTGTAAACTGAGCTCTGCCCTTCCCAGTGTGTGGAGTAGGTGCCGGCTCCATCCTAGGAACCAGACCGCTTCTTGGAACAGGAGAGAGCAGGGTGCTCAGGGTGGTGGTGCGACCCGCTCATGCATGTGGGCGTGGGTAGCCTCCTCCTAGCTGCACGTGCAGTGAGGTACACGCTCCCCACACACGCTTCCACACCATCAACTGTGTCTTCAGCACTTCAGGGCCAGGAACCCTGAACTCCCATGTGCAGCATCTGCTGGGCTGCGGGGTGCTCTGAGGCTGGGGTGGGATCTGCGATCGGAAGGCCACTCACCAGCCCCAGACAGACCAACCAGAGAACTGGGGTGGCTCTCAGATCCTTTTCCAGGGTGGAAGGGAGAACTAGAGTACAGTGTTCCCGGAGTGAGGGTCTGTGCTTTACAGAAGCAGTGTGGAAAGAAAGGGCAAACAGGCAGCCAGCTCTGCTCTGCTTCAGAAATTCAGGCGTCCGTGTGTTTGCGTGTGAGATGGGCAGTGTGTGCAGTCCTGTCCGGCGTCACAGCTGGTCAGCATGGCGCTTCATCTCCCTGTTCTGCTCACTGTCCGGCGTCCCCACCCCCCAGAGGAGCCAGGGTTTCAGGTCACTGCAGACGTTTCCCGAGGGGCGTGCAATAGTGCCTTACACAGCACAGTGAGTATGCCAAAGGTCACATGAAGACTTCTGCAGGGGACTGAGTATCTCACACTTCCAACTTGAGAATGTGCAGGGAGGATCGTGGGAAAGCACTTTTGGTGACAAGGTGTCTCAGGTCACCAGGAGGCGGTGAGGACAAGCCATGGTTGACCCATCTCATTGGAGAGGTGTGCTTGTCTCCCTGTGTTCTTCAGGAAACTCTAACTGGGGTCTCACTTCCTCAGGCCCCTCCTGGAGCTTCCGGAAAGAGACTGTCACGCTGTTGGACAGCTACTTGATAAGACTTACAGCTGCTGCCCTGTTCTTCAGAGGTTTGGTCTGGGTTTTCTATTCTTTGTGCTTGTTTTTTGGGGGTAATTTCTAAGGAAGTTTTTCCGAGACATGATTCCAAGGAGGCCCTAGGTCCTTGTCAGGAGTGGTTGAGGAAGTGCCTGGTGCCTTCCCACACGTTAGCAGGTCCCCTGAAAATACTGAAGCAGGTTGTCACTAGTGAGGGAGGTCCACAAAACCGCAGAGCCCTACTCTGCCTTTCCCCATGATGTGTATGTCCTGCTAGGTTAAGTACCGGAGGAGGCGGAGAGTGGCTACCTCTGGCCTGTATCACAGCAGCTAGGTAGAGGTCAACCTAATGACTGTAAGGCCATGTGTGTCTGCTGATGCCTGTTAGGTGAACTGGGTTTTCCTTCCTCGGTCTCCAAGTCCGGTTGCTTTTGTTCCCGATTCTGCAAATCTTGCTGACCAGACTCTCTGGCCATGGATCTGTAATGGGAGATGGGGAGGGAAGCAGGGGAAAGGGGGACGTGTCAATCGGAATAACCTTGCTCAGTGGTGAAATTAAAACCTTCCCTCCCTCTGTAAACAGGAACAACACAGAGGATGGGGAAATGGAAAGAGCTGCCCATGACAAAGGCCGCTCCTGAGGACCCAGCGGGAAGAGGAAGGCCCCGGATGCCCCAGGAAGTGTGATCCCCTGGTGAGCTCAGAGCCCCGCCAGGCCGCCTGTCCACACGCGCAGGAAGAGTCGCGAGGAGGAAGGGGCAGACATCGAGTCTGGAGCCGGGGCTTGTGCAGACCTCGGAGCTGAGCTGCTGGCATCGCGGGCCGGGAGCTCAGCCTCGAGACCCGCAGTCCCCCCTCCCCCGCCGGATTCTGAGGGCCGGGCGCGCCCTGCCGGCGGGAGCGGGCTGCGACCGGCCAGGGCGGGAGGAGGCGCGGGCTGAGAGCTGACCTGGTGCCGGGGAAGGGCCGCCATGGAGAGCTCGGCGGCCCCCGGCGGCCTCCACCCGGCGGATGACCCGGCCCGCGGGACCTCGGGGCAGCAGGACCCGGCGGGGCCCCCGGCGCAGACTCCCTGCGGCCTGGGCGCCTCCCTGTGCTTCGCCTCCGCAGAGGACGAGGCCCCGCGGGCCCGCGCCGTAGCCGCCGCCTCCCCGCCGTCCCGCCGCGGCGTGGTGGACACGCAGCGGGAGCTGGGCGCCGGCGCCGCCCGCGCGGAAGAGGGGCCGGAGCCCCCGGAGGAGGAGCGCGCGTCCCGCCCGGAGGAGAGGACCCCGTCCCCGGAGGAGGCGTCCGCGTCCCGCGCGGAGTCCCCGTCCTCCCCGGAGGAGAGGACCCCGTCCCCGGAGGAGGCGTCCGCGTCCCGGGAGGAGTCACCGTCCTCCCCGGAGGAGAGGACCCCGTCCCCGGAGGAGGCGTCCGCGTCCCGGGAGGAGCTTGAACCCCGGGGGGAGGAGAGCCCGTCCCCGGAGGAGGAGCTCGAGCCCGCGCCCCCCGCGGCCCCCGGGCTCGCGCTCGCGCTCGGGGAGCCCGACCTGGTCCTGGAGGTGGCGGGCCGGCGGCTGCGGGCGCACAAGGCGGTGCTGGCGGCGCGCAGCGACTACTTCCGCGCGCGCGCGTCGCGGGACGTGCTGCGGGTGCGGGGCGTGGGCCCGGCGGCGCTGCGCCTGCTGCTGGCCGACGCCTACGGCGGGCGCATGGCCGGCGTGCGGCCCGACAACGTGGCCGAGGTGGTGGCGGGCGCGCGCCGCCTGCAGCTGCCCGGGGCCGCGCAGCGCGCCACCGAGGCCGTGGCGCCGCAGCTGAGCCCGGACAACTGCGCGGCGGTGCTGGGCGCGGCCAAGCGGCGGCGGCTGGCGGAGCTGCGCGACGCCGCCTACCGCTTCATGAGCGACCACTACCTGGAGGTGCTGCGCCGGCCGGCCGTCTTCGGGCGCCTGTCGGGGGCCGAGCGCGAGCTGCTGCTGCGCCGGCGCCTGCGCGCGGGCCGCGCCTGCCTGCTGGCCGCGGCGCTGGCGCCCGCCGCCGGGGCGCGCGCGGGGGGCGCGGCGGGGGCCGCGGGCGCGCGCGGGGAGGCGGCCGCGCTCTACCGCTTCTGCGCGGCGGCGGGCGCGTGGCGCGCGCTGGCGCCGCTGCCCGAGGGCGCCCCGGCGCGCGGCTGCGGCCTGGCCGTGCTGCACAACTACCTGTTCGTGGCGGGCGGCGTGGCGCCCGCCGGCCCCTCCGACCGCGTCTTCTGCTACAACCCGGCCACGGGCCGCTGGAGCGCCGCGCGCCCGCTGCGCCAGGCGCGCTCGCAGCTGCGGCTGCTGGCGCTGGACGGGCACCTGTACGCGGTGGGCGGCGAGTGCCAGCTGGGCGTGGAGCGCTACGACCCGCGCGCCGACCGCTGGGCCGCCGTGGCGCCGCTGCCCCGCGGCGCCTTCGCCGTGGACCCCGCCGCCGCCGTCTGCAACGGCGAGCTCTACGTGTCCGGCGGCTCGCTGTTCGGCCGCCTGCTCAAGTACGACCCGCGGCGCGACGAGTGGCAGGAGTGCCCGGGCGGCGGCGGCCGGGGCCGCGCGGCCGGCCTGGTGGGCCTGGGCGGCTTCCTCTACCGCTTCGAGCTGGGCGGCGCGCGCGGCGACGCGCAGGGCGCGGGCGCGCTCAGCGTCTGCCGCTACCACTGCGCCGCGCGGCGCTGGAGCCCGGGCGCCGCGCGCCTGCGCCCGCCGGGGCCCCCGCGGCCCTTCCGCTGCGCCGCGCTGGACGGCGCCGTCTACTGCGTGAGCCGCGCCGGCACCTGGCGCTTCGTGCCGGCCGCCGACGGCGAGCCCGGGTCGGACGCGGGGCCCGGCGGCCACTTCGAGCCCGAGCCGCTCGGGGCGCCGCTGGACGTCCGCGGCGTGCTCGTCCCGTTCGTGCTCCGCCTGCCCGACAGCTCGGACCCGGACCAGGACCCAGACCCGGACCCGGACCTGGACCCGCAGGCCGCGGCCTAGGCGGCGCGGGCCGGGCGTGGGCCCGGGGGCGGTGGAGGCCGCCCGGACCCGAGTGTGCCCCCAGTGCTCCCGAGTGTGTCCCAGTGTGCCCGAGTGCCACCCGAGTGTGCCCCAGTATTGCCTTAGTGTCACCCGAGTGCGCCCGAGTGTGCCCCAGTGTGCCCGAGTGCCAAGAGTGCGCCCGAGTGCGCCCCAGTGCCACCCCACGTCCTGGGCACCGCTTTTGCTGTGCTTAGTTTAGCTTAGTGGAGCCTGCGCGTGAACCCTGGGCCTGCGCCTAGCTTTGCTGATAACCCGAGGGGCACCTGGGGGTCTGGGGTGGGGATGGGGCTCAGGGCAGGATGGAGAGCTGGGGGTCTGAGGTGGGGATGGGCTCAGGGCAGGATGGAGAGCTGGGGGTCTGGGGTGGGGGTGGGGCTCAGGGCAGGATGGAGAGCTGGGGGTCTGGGGTGGGGGTGGGGCTCAGGGCAGGATGGAGAGCTGGGGAAGGGGGGGGGGATTGGACTCAGGGCAGGATGGACACCTGGGGTGCGGGGATGGGTCTTGGGGATGGGGTCCAGTGGGAATGGCTGGCCCTGAGGGAGGTAGGGGCTCTGGGTTTGCCCCTCCAGTCAGTGCAGCCCACCGCCTTGTCTTGGAAGACCGAGGGCCGCAGTGGGCAGCAGTCTGAGGCCGGCGGTGGGGTGGCTGGGTTTTGCTGTGTTTTTGAGTGGTGTTTCAAATTGTAAGTGATGGAGGTAGAGGATTTGTGGCTTAAAGAGACTGTGCCCTTCAGTGCTCTAGTATTGGTAGGCCAACTCCAAAGCAAAGAGTTACCGAGGGTTAGTCTCGCTGCAGAGCTGTGCATCTGTCAGGCCATGGTGAACCCGCATCTGTGCTCAAAGCAGAGGCTGTGGATCGCCCCACATCCGCCCGACTGCAGACTGCTGACAGTCTTGGAGGAAACCACGAGCTTTTCAGGAAAGGCTCTGTGGGGCCTGGGAGCTGGGGAGGCTCGTGAGCGCACGTTGCTCATGATTATGCACAAATGAAGAGTGTCTTCACACCTGGGCAGTCACCCCAGAGCCCATGTAGTTTGGTTTGGCTGGCCTTTTGGAGGAGGGTCCCCAGAAGGGGTAGGAGAAAAAGCGCTTGTGACAAAAGGAAACGTTTGTTGTTATAAAGGAATGTACAGTTTATAATGTACATTTTCTCTAAAAACTGCTAGTAATGCTAATATATTTAAAGAAAATGGGTCCAGGCTAACATTTCCGCTCCGTCAATACCACCGCTGTGACTTTGGCCTGAGAAATAACTCCTGCGGGGTTTGCTGTTGAAGTCGAGCCTCAGAGCAAAACCTATCCCTTGGAGGCCAGGGGTGGTCTGAGCCCGAGCAGGCCCAGCTGGGGCGCCTGGGTGTTGTGTGGGGACTTCCCTTAGTCTTCCTGCGGGCACTGCAGCTGTCCCCTGGGGCACACAGTGAATGGAATCAGCACTACTCACTAGCATCATTGGTGTCTGGTCAACCCATTTTTAAACCATATAAGACATTATATATCAAACTTCTAGTTACTAATACATTAAATGCTAAAAGCCCTGATGATGCACTGGCAGTTTGGTTTGGTGTTTGAGGGACAGTCCTTGGGTGCGAAGCAGGCATTCGTACCCCATGCCCTCCAGGGTGTTGGTTTGAGCAGGGCCCTCCAGCCGTGTGCCTTCCATACCAACCCAGCAGCGATCTAAGTCTGCATCAGCGCCATCTGGGAAGGTGAGTAGTGCATGAATATCCAGACCGTCACTCAGAAGAGAGGTCTGCGTGCTGGAAGGCTGCCCGCCATTCTCATACGACCGCCCGAAAGCCTGATCTTTCCTGTCCTGACTGGCAGTGACTTTGGTTTCATCAACAGAGGGTCATCCGGACCCAAAGGAACAAGCTTACTAGTTCTGTATTTGCCGAGTTTTTGTTTGTGTCCTGGGAGCAGTTCCTACGTCTGGTGTTGTCTCTTGGCTGCCTCACAAACTTGGACTCTGGTGATTTGATGTAGGACACAAAGGTGGCCTCGTTTCACTTGACCTGTGGCCGTTGCCTGCCCTGTAGTTCACACCCGACCTGTACGGGTCCACTACCAGCACGGGCAAGAAATGAGACGTCTGAGCCGTCTCTGCTAACTTCCGGTGTCATTACTCGCGCTGTTCTGATGGCAGCTGTGTAATCTGCTAGTGTTGTGGGAAACTTCCTGTAAGATGCTGCAGCTGAATGTCTGGCGCCCTTGTGGGTTCTACCTACAGCGAGGAATTCTGGAAGGTCACGCGTGTCTTAGGGGCAGCCGCTTCCCTGGCCTGGGGAGCATTGGGTTCTGTGTTCCTGTCGTTGGGAACATTCCCTTCTCTGGCAGTACTGCTGGGGGGCGATGGCCTGGCTCTGGGGGACTGTGCAGCTGGGTTCATTTCAGCAGCTGCGTCACCCCTGCCTTTCGTGTGTCCTCAAAGCGGTCTGCGCCACACAGTGTTCCTGGCCCTGGGCCTGCATGGCCGAGGGCATAGATGGGGGGAACAGGAGACCTGATGTGCTCTGACCTGCAGTGGAGGCTCCCTGTGCTGATGCAGCTCTGATGAGCACTCACGCGCTAGTGCTCACACGCTGCTGCCTAACAAAGGCCACTGCACCTTCAGCAGACTCCTGTCAGTGGTTACTGTGCATGTGATTCACACGTTAACGCTTGAGTTTTTATGTCGAAGGCCCAAATACTGTACAACGCCCTGTGTGTATCAATCTGTGTCACGAGCAAATAAACCCAGTGCAAAATGCCAGAGTTCCTGACACTGTGCTGTGCTCACTCCTCCCTCCCTCAGAGCGTGTGTGTGTGTGTGTGTGTGTGTGTGTGTGTGTGTGAGAGAGAGAGAGAGAGAGAGTGTGAGGGGGGACTTGGATGGAGACCTGGTATGGTGTCTCCTTCCCTGTTAACTGAGAAGCCAGCTCTGTAGCTTCCAAGGGTCCAGCTCAGAATCTCCGTATGTGGTGTCTCCCCTGTGGTCTCCTGACGTAGAGACCAGTGCTGCCACTCCGTGTCTCCAGATGTGCAGGGTGTGGGCAGATGCTGGAGCCACACTGCCTGGGAGGAGAACTGAATGATGGAGCTGAGCTGTGTGGTGGAGCTGAGCTGAGTGATGGAGCTGAGCTGCGTGGTGGAGCTGAGCTGAGTGATGGAGCTGAGCTGAGTGATGGAGCTGAGCTGAGTGATGGCGCTGAGCTGCGTGATGGAGCTGAGCTGTGTGATGGCGCTGAGCTGAGTGATGGAGCTGAGCTGAGTGATGGCGCTGAGCTGCGTGATGGAGCTGAGCTGCGTGATGGAGCTGAGCTGAGTGATGGAGCTGAGCTGCGTGGTGGAGCTGAGCTGCGTGATGGCGCTGAGCTGCGTGATGGCGCTGAGCTGCGTGATGGAGCTGAGCTGCGTGATGGAGCTGAGCTGCGTGATGGAGCTGAGCTGAGTGATGGAGCTGAGCTGCACCATGGTGGAGCTGAGCTGCGTGATGGCGCTGAGCTGCGTGATGGCGCTGAGCTGCGTGATGGCGCTGAGCTGAGTGATGGAGCTGAGCTGCGTGGTGGAGCTGAGCTGCGTGATGGCGCTGAGCTGCGTGATGGAGCTGAGCTGCGTGATGGAGCTGAGCTGCGTGGTGGAGCTGAGCTGAGTGATGGAGCTGAGCTGAGTGATGGCGCTGAGCTGAGTGATGGCGCTGAGCTGTGTGATGGAGCTGAGCTGTGTGATGGAGCTGAGCTGTGTGATGGAGCTGAGCTGCGTGATGGAGCTGAGCTGCGTGATGGAGCTGAGTGATGGAGCTGAGCTGAGTGATGGCGCTGAGCTGAGTGATGGAGCTGAGCTGTGTGATGGAGCTGAGCTGTGTGATGGAGCTGAGCTGTGTGATGGAACTGAGCTGTGTGATGGAGCTGAGCTGACTGATGGCGCTGAGCTGACTGATGGAGCTGAGCTGACTGATGGAGCTGAGCTGCGTGGTGGAGCTGAGCTGTGTGATGGAGCTGAGTGATGGAGCTGAGCTGCGTGATGGAGCTGAGCTGCGTGATGGAGCTGAGCTGCGTGATGGAGCTGAGCTGCGTGATGGCGCTGAGCTGTGTGATGGAGCTGAGCTGAGTGATGGAGCTGAGCTGCGTGATGGAGCTGAGCTGAGTGATGGAGCTGAGCTGCGTGATGGAGCTGAGCTGCGTGATGGAGCTGAGCTGCGTGATGGAGCTGAGCTGCGTGATGGCGCTGAGCTGTGTGATGGAGCTGAGCTGAGTGATGGAGCTTCTGGTGCCTCAGTCCCAGCGAGGGTCACTGCACGGTGGCCTGGGTAGGGCGGGGGTGGGGGGCGGTCAGAGCCTGTGCCCTGTCCTCTAGGCGAGGCAGGGCAGGCATAGCTCAGGATCCGCTGGCTCGACAAGTCCCAGCTGGCTTGGGGCTGCGGGTGGCCTGGGCACCTGGTCCAGGCTCTGTTGGTGTAGGGTGTCTGTGAGTCAGAGGTGGAAGCAGGTGGTCTTGGCTGGGGATGGGTGGGTCAGCAAGAGGGACCAGGCCAGGACGGGTGAGGGGCAGTCCTCCACAGGAAGTTCTGCCTATGTCAGACACCACAAGCAGGAGAAACAAACCAGCTGCACAGTGCCCCTTCCTTGCAGCAGCTCTGACAGCTGCAGGCTGGAGGATCCCGAGACACAGCATGGGCCCGGGGAGCGACCCAGTGTTAATCCATTGGATGCACTTGAGGTCCTTCCCACACAGCCAGCCTCCTCAGCCTCTGCCACCCCTCAGCCTCCTCCATCCCTCAGCCTCCTCTACCACCCCTCAGCCTCCTCCACCACCGCTCAGCCTCCTCCACCACCCCTCAGCCTCCTCCACCACCACTCAGCCTCCTCTACCACCCCTCAGCCTCCTCCACCACCGCTCAGCCTACTCCACCACCCCTCAGCCTCCTCCACCACCCCTCAGCCTCCTCTACCACCCCTCAGCCTCCTCCACCACCGCTCAGCC